GTGTAGCCCAACATCGGCCGCGACCTGGTAAATATTGCGGGATGAATTTGAATTTGAATTTGTGTATGAATTCCCTGATGCTTCAGTGATCGAGCCCATTTGGAAAATGTGTTCAACGACTTCATCGGCTTCAAAACCGCAGACTTTCCCACAAAATAAGCATTTGCATATTCGCTTCACTTGCGAAGATGTGTAGATCACAGCGGTTTTATATCGATCGACATTGATTTTTTGCTGAGATATGCAGTTCTATAAATAAAGGTGAAAAACTGACATCATGTCCCGGACAACTTGATGTTAAAAAATGCAATCTTAGGTATATATGCATTTTTGTCAAGGTCACATCGTCTCGGTAGTAGCCCACATAAAGAGAAAAGCCTACAAGTTCTTTTGTGTAAGCTATCCCAGCAGAGCTTTTGACCCTTCATTATTTTTTCTTTTCCAGAAAATTAATAGTTATGTCAAACAGAGGCTAGATAAACACATTTCATGATTCCTCTAAAGCATTCAGATATTATAAACGGTTCACTGCTAGCCCAGGAACCGTTCAGAAATGAACTGTGGAATGTAGCATGTTTTTAAGTAAAATCACTTAAAAGTTGACGTTGCCTCAAAATCGAAGTTGTTTCACATTTCAACTTAGAAAACACTTAGTAGTTAAAGTCGTCCTACCTAGCTCTATTTCGAGACAAGTCTTAACATGTGCGCATTTATTGAGAAACATTGTTCAAGGAACATGCATCCATTCAATTGTCTGAAAGAATACGTTTGAGAGAACTCAGGATGCTCAAGAAATCTCACCCTAATGTCACCAATGGTCATTCAGAAAATGTTCCTTCCAATCCTATTCTTCCTAAAATGATTGTAACTGATGTCATTGAAGATCTTGCTCTTTCTTCCAATGACTGTGCCCTAAATCAGCCCATCACAGTCTCCTCTGATACCACATTGGCTTCGTCGCTGACGGTGCTTCTTCTAGTTCTGTTCATCATTCGGAAAACTCTTAACTCCTCCTCGGTATTTGAGTAGTAAAATACGCTGCTTTTTGTGTAACATCAGGTCTCTTCATAAGAATGCGAGCTCTCTTCAGTACTCCATCGCTGCAATGAACTATGACATCCTGGCCTTGACCGAAACGTGGTTAAAATCCAAGAAGCACATTTGATTTCGTCGTTGAAGTTCTGAGTCATGTACATAGTCCAACGTGCGTGATGAAAAATATGATCCCGCTCCGACATGGAGATGGTGCAATTCATATCTATCCTGGGCGAGTTGAAGTGGAAGTTGAGTGCTGTTATTTTTCTTCGTTGAGTCCAAGTGGCAATTTGATGTTGGTCATCGCATATGATATCAGCTGTTGTTTGGGGTCACTGGTAGAGTAGCACACAATTGTGACTGTCGCTCCTAAAAGGCAAGAGTAGCATCCTTCGATGGTAGATGTCATAATGGAGCAGCTTCCGTGATTTTGAAACTGAGACGATCTTCATGTCCACGTTCGTTTGTACTTGGACAGCCTGATCCAATAATGTGCTCGGGCTGCAATTGTATCGTCGTGTTGTTCAATTATGATGTTCTTGGTTGTGGGGTAGAGTGTTGTGCTGCCGATGATTCGACATTTTTCCTTCTGGGCACGTGCAGGTGGATTTGAAGGCCCCCGTAGAGCATGGGCATGTCCTTGGAGAAAATCGACATTTGACACTTGAATTGTGTTGCATCCGTTTTAGAAGCGCATTGTAACTGGCCTGGGGTTTGAGGTGTCAGCTCATTAGCCTGAACTCGCATTGTCATGGCGTCCTCCGAGCTGATAAAGGCAGATCAAGAACGGCAGTGAGGAGGAACGGTTGCCAGTAGAGACAACTTGACGTCTCTCACTCTTGACGTTCTTCCTGGGCGAAGAACAATGAGATGTGTTTCGGGCTCTTTGTTATGCAGTTGAAATGTGATCTCCGTGGTAACTGTGAGCTCCCATATTGGGCAGGTGAATACAGTGTAGAGGTATCCGATGATGGTTTCGCGTAATATCGGTAAAATAAGCATGACGGCGTACAGTAGAAGCAACCGTCGCACATCAGACATTGACAGCTGGCCTTGCAAAATGTGAAGCCAGGGTGGTGAGAAGCTTTCCAGCTGAACTCAGCTATCGTATCTGACGTTTTGGTATTGTCGCAATTTATTCGGTTGCAGCTTCCTGCCTTGTAGCATCGGTGGGAAGATTCTGAGTTGAATTCATGATCGCGAGTAAAGAATTCAATCTTCTTTTGGCACACGTGGAAAATACTTTTTATCCGCAGCGATAGTAGACCGACTGGTTCGTTATCGTCATTTCTCAAACATAGACAAAGATCCTGGCCAAGTGGCTGGAGGGTCAGGACGACACCTTGATTGAACGTGCATGTTCGAGTTGAATTGACCTTAGAGCACGATTCTGTCGTACTAGTTATTAAAACAACATCTGAGCAACCGTATGTGTGTCTTTCGCTCATTACGAAGACCAAAATCGTGATGAGTAATGCCGAGTTCTTCAGTGAGCGTGGGCGTCGCTTTGCACGAGTGTATGTCCGGAAAGGAGTGGAAAATGAGTTGGGATCGATTTGTTTCTGAGTCCTCTTGGCTTTCCGTATGATTGTTAAGAAACATTTGAAGACGAGTAGGAGTAGTTTGATAAGCCTTCTGATGACGAAAAGTATTGGGTTGAGAATCCAATACATTGATATGATGAGCATGACGGATGCCGTGGCGAGCAGGATCTCGAGCTTAGTCAAGCACTGACTATTGTAGATTTTTTCCAGACATAAGGAGCAATTAAGTATTTCACAGATGGGATGAGCAGGGCATGTTATTGAAGACTGATGAACACGTATTCCATTTTGCCATCCGCTGATTTGTACCGTATATCTGAAGACAATGAGCTCTGTCGGAAACATTAGAGAAGTGGCCGATATGTGTGTTGTGAAGATACAGTAGGAGGCGATGCATGCTTCAATGGCGTCAATTATCCTGTCCGCTTTCGCTTCTAGCCCTCCTTTCGAACATTTTGGCGATAGTAGAATGGCGTCGGCATAATTTTGTAGATTATGGGGTAGAATTCTCCTGCGGTGGTGCCCCATGCCTTAATGGGGATGAGAAAGGTGGAAGACGTCGTACTGCTAAAATCGTGCAGCGCTATGGGAGTATCGTATATGCAGAACTTGCTAGCATGGTCGCTGCATGAATGGTTTTCGCAGAAGACAGATGTTCCTTGAAATGGGGGTGCGGTGGAAGACTCGCTTTCCTCCTGCGTTAATACACATGGAGTCACTGGAATTAAGATAGTCCTTGATCGTTATCTGGAGTCTTGGCACTAGTAGGACACTGTTGTCATATAACTCGATCTGGTTGAAGGTGCCGATCTTCTTCCTTGGGCTACAATTGTCGCTTTTGCTGAAGGAGCAGACGTCGGTTACCACGAGTGAATTCCATACTTCAGTTGTCAGGAAACAGAGTGTGTATGACCAAATAGCGTCTCTACGCAACACCGGTCCGCGGTCACCGGGACCACTGCGGTTGTCTTGCCCCATGTATCAGCATCCAGCAGATCACCTGCCGTTGTAGGAACGTCCGCCATATCTCGTCTTGCTGTTCGCAACATTACGTATGTGTCTCAAGTAATGAGGGCAGCCCTGCTGTCCTTGATCTGGTATGCCTCCGCCGGGATCGGTTCTCGTTGGGATTTCCCCTTTGCAATGTCGCTGAGCAGCTCCGGCCATATGATGTCGTGGAATAAGTCTTCGTCATCGTACAAAATGTCGTTTATCAGCGCACATCTCAAAAGCGGTGCTTCATCTCTCCACAATTGATCGTCGCGCCCCAGACTTTCTGCGAGGAATCCCATTGTGCCGATATCCAGAATCGCCGG